AGATGTATCCAACTGTCCGAAACTGATTCACCATCCACTTGTCGTCCAAAAGCATTCGAAAACCATGGGTGAACATATATCATCAACATAAACATTAATAAACTACAACATAGAAATATGATCATCATCTGGCACAGCCACTGTCCATATATGGTAGCCTTTGACATGTCTCGCTTCTCATGGATGTCAAGAAAGTGTGTTTTAAGCTGGTTCCATCCATTGACATCTTTACATCAAAACTCAGGTGGCCATATTTTTCTTTTGGGTACCAAAATATCTAGCATAAAAGCGCGTTTTTTCGGTTGGAATCGGTTGGGCCCCCCTTGAAACCCTTGGGGCGCTTATTGGTTTTTGTCCCCTCCAGTCTTTGGTGGTGTACTTTGATGTGCATCCCACTTAGTAAGTCGTTTAAAATCCATATATAACATTATATAACCCATATACAATAGGGGATATTCCAGTAATCTAGCTGGGGTTTTTAGCCAGGTATAACGCATTTACTAAGTGGGATGCACCCCCAAGCATGTTGCAGCACGCCGTTTTTCACACGCCTTTGATCGATTCCAAAAAGCCGGTCGGAAGCGGAACCTGCTGGGTGCGTCCATGGAGGCTGCAGGTGCATGACACGGATGACTTGGAGGTCCCACCATTTATGGAACCCCCCATATGTGTATAATACAAACAGGTATATAGATGCCTATATCATCTATGTATATATATATACATACATGCAGAGAGAGAGAGAGAGAGAAAGAGAGAAAAAGGATGCTTGTGTGTGCACAAATTCCATCATGAGATAAATCATCACACATCAATATAAATCATCTTTTTCTATGGGCCATGGCTTCCATAGCAAACTGTCAAATACCTAAAGGCTAATCCATATTGATCCCATGATCAACTACTGTAAATGGATATGAATAGTCACCAGTCATGGATGTCAATTAACTAGAGTCTATTTCAATTATCCATTATTCATCAATTATTGTTGGTGATGTTTCCATTATCGATTATTAAATAATAATTACTAAGCCGTTACATTTCAAATATAGCAATATTTGACATTCAATATAGCATAATATAGCCCTTACTGTATCCATTATTTAACGATTATCACATTTTCAAGCACCATGAATGGATGTTAGTAAGATGTGATATATTTCCATTATCAACACATGTTTAAGCACTATTAATGCTGGCTGGTGGTTTGGAACATGAATGGCTTATTTTCCCATTCAGTTGGGAATTTCATCATCCCAACTGACTCATATTTTTCAGAGGAGTAGGTGGCTCAACCACCAATCAATGGATTGGTTTAAGGGAAAATCTTAACCGGAAACCTTTTACTCCATTAAATATGGGGGTTTCCGGTGAAAATTTTCCCTTAAACCAATCCATTGAACCAACCAAATTTGGACATTCAGCACATTTTTAAGCACCATGGATGCACCACATGGCCAGGTCATCGCCATGATCTTGGATAGCAAAGATCATCCAGAATGGGAGGTTCGAACAACTCGAATTCGGTGGAGTTCACCATGAAACCATAGGATTTTTGATATACAAAAATCGTTAACATATGGTTAATATTAATGAAAACAACATGGTGAATATATGAAAAATATGCAGCTAATTCACAAATGGGTAGTATATGAAAAAAACTATGGACATATATAGGACATATATGGACATATAGAACCTACAATAGGAAATATGTGGGGGTTTCCATAAATGGGGGTTTCCCAAAATGTTTGGTTTATTTCATGGAAAATCACATCTGGAAATGGATGATAATGATTTGGGGGTAGCCCTATGACTTAGGAAACCAAGAAATATAGCCACAGAATATACACAAATATATGACCATTTGTCCAAAATAGTTGTTTAGAAGTTTAGTATTGGCTGTTGATAATTCATCTGGATCTACTGTCATATACATAAAACATATCAAACCAACCACGAAATATGTACAAACCATGGCGGCTCGCCACTGTCAAAGCATGTTTTTTTTTTTGTGAAGGCTTACTGGACAACAGTAGAAACATGTTCAATAATAGTTTCGATTTTGGAGTGAATTGATACTTTATCAACTGAGATCAAAAATACAGAGTTTGAGGGTCCAAGCTCTGCTTCCATGATTCTTTTGTACTATTTCACATTAATCTATCTAAATTCGCCCAATATTTCTGTTGTTCTCCCCAAGACACATTTGTGATGAAAAAGGAGCCAGGTGTTTCATCCACCAGGTGTTTTTTTTTAATGGGTGAAATTTCTAAGGGAACATTCACGGGGGAAATCAATCTGATTTGTATTGCCATTGAAACTTTGACGCTTTCAACTGGGCACATCTGTTTTTTCCAGACACATTCTGGGATTTTCGAAATTGCCCAAGAATTGGCAAGGTGAAAGGTTTTGAATAGACCTATGGCATGGCTTGTGGACAAGTTACAACCCGCCTGATCAGTCTGATTACTGACTGAAGATTCTCCGACCCCAAATCCATCCGTTTCTGAAATCGGGATGGGAGTCTATTCCATCTATACCTCTGGTTTTCCAGATTTATCTGGGGATGAACATCCAAGGTATAAACTGGTTCTTGTGCTAGGTTGCTAAGTATTATGATTTGGCCAAATGTGGCTGGTCCAGTGTATTCTTGGTACCCATCCTGTATGCAAACAGTATCTAATCCTTTCAATGTTTCCTGATGTCCATTTTATTGATTTCCATTCTTGTTGGTAAACAGATAGAAGTGTTCATGAACATCGAAACCCAAGAATCAACCATGCCGCTGCCAAATTTCACCAGAAATTGGTTGTATAGAAGCTCCAGCAAGAGGTTCAGGATTGGAGGGATCCTATATGGCTTTGTCTGAAAATAGGGTATATTCCCAATGAAATAGCCATTTAATAGGGATAATGATCAGCAAAACCATTGGGTTTAGGGGTACACAACATTTTCAGTAACACACCCATATGGCTTTGATTGGGTTTCCCAACCAAACAGCCATCACTTGTTTTTTTTTTCCCAGCATTTTGTGCTGGTTAAATCTCTATTTATTCCATCATGTACTGACAGCATGCTAAAATCAAGGCAAGGAACCGCAATTTGTTGGATTTCAACCACCCAGAAATTGGAGGTTCATGACATTGGGATGAATCCCATATTATTTCACTCATCATCATTAAATACAACATTTTTAGTCACAATAAATTAATTAACATCAACAATTTGTCGGTTCACTTATCATTTGGTTTACCACATTTACCTTGAGTGCTGCCGCTTCGCAAAAAATCTCTCAGGGCTCCGCACCTTGCAAGTTCGGAGCGCGAGGCAGTGATATCCCGCAGCCTAGGGCCTAGGGGGTGGTTCAAGAGTTCATTCGGGGGGGATAGATGAATCAATGCTATGATTATTACCCATTAATCCCCAGCTATATGGATTATACCATATATACCATATTTATATATGGTATTATATATATACAGTATATATATATATATATATATATATATGGGCCACGGTCAATATTTAGTATATAGCTCCAAGTCATCAATTTTTGAAGAGTGTATTATCGCTAAATTTTGGCTGTAGCTCATATGGAGAAATGATAGCGACCTATTCACGCCCAATGTATCTCCATATCATGACCCCACGTCGCTTCAATGGGAATTGGATTTGGTTAGAATCATCCGAAAGGGTTGACCGCAGGAGAACAGCTACCCTCGGGTAAACGTTTACATAGCGAACTGGAACATTAGCATCTATAATAGGTAAACCAACTGTAAATGATCATTTTCAATAGCTATGTAACAAATTACCAGAGGCTATTTTCAGGTTCATCGCACTCCTTTCTACAAGTGAATTAGCTATTTTCAGGTTGATGAATGCTTCTTACAATTCATCCAGAAAATATCCAGAATATCATTCGGATATAACTACGTAGTTACCCAGTTATTCAGAAAGGTGATTTATCTTTATTTTGGACTCGGATTTTGCCAACTTCTATCTTTTTCTTGGGTGCTATATTGGGGACTGAACAATAATTTCATACCATTGAAATATTGGAGATGATCAGAATCCACTCTCCCAGTTGTGGCTCAACCCACTGCTGTTTTGTTTTTTCGCACATCTTTACAGGATTCCCCTGTGGTTCAAATTGTGTTACAATTTTCTATGGAAAACCATCATTATTCATGGGGAATCTATCTCATCTATCGGCCATCACCAGTTCGCCAGTTGTGTCAAAGTCATTACCAGAGGCCAATCCGTATGGATCCAATGATCAATCACTATAAATGGATAGAACAATCATCACCATTAATGTAGATTACCCGGCCTGGTAAACGTTTACATAACTGATGGGAAAATCACCATGCTATTAATGGGTAAATCCACTATTTCGACTGGGTCATTTTCAATAGCTATGTTAAGTTACCGGAGGGTATGTTTCTCTGATACATTGGAGATTCAACAAACATTGTTTGATGGCTGGATATAAACTTTATCCTCAGCTGGCTCAAATCGGAGACCTGTACACTGTTTAACAAGTCTTCACAAAGTTATAGTGATGGACGTATGAGAACAAAAGTATGTATATACCGTATATGTGTCTATGTGTATATGTACATATATACAGTACATAATTATATGATATGTTATGTGTATATACCGTATATGTATATTATATATACATATTAGTACATGCAGCTTGTGATGAAGTTCAGAGGTTTTTGGTCAAATTCTCTGGTCTGTCGCTTTGTTTGGTAATACGGGGGAGGTACAGGTATCTCCCTATTTTGTCCTTCATACCCCCGGAAAGACGCAAGATATCGCAAGATTAGGTACCTACAAACTGGCCGTTTCATTCCATTCTCGAATTCTTGTGAGTGAAGCTTTAAAAAAATTGGCTAAAAGCCAGCATTCTTGTGGGTTGTATCCACAGTTTTGTGAAGTGACCAACCGGCACAACCGCCTCCATTTTTGACCGCTGGCCACGCCATGAGTTGCGCATGTCACCCTGGGCTGAAGCGCTGGGAACGGATCGGCCAAATCGGCCAAATGCCCAGCCTGGGCAACGGCTCTGGAGGCACAGAGGGGTGATGATAAAACGGGGACTATACTACATATAGATCATATAGTGGAAGATTATATGAGATTATATATGATTATGTATTTTCCTTATATATGGATATATATGGATATATATATATATGAGATTGTATATGAGATTATATATATATGAGATTATACTGTATATTATGAGATTATAGATTATATTGTATATTATGAGATTATAGGGGATCCATTATAAACCATTATGATCCGTTATAATGGAATGACAGAGGGTTTGAACATTGCTCAATTGATTCAATGAAGCAACAGTTTGGACATTTTGTTGATTTTAAGCAATCTAACTTTTCGATTTCTTGGGGCTAAAAATCTCGTAGTTAGCACGTAGAGTTTCATAGGAGTCCAGCCGCGCAGAGACATAGTTAGAATTCTGCAGCCATTTCACTTGGCTGCCTGGAGAATCCACTAGCTGGATTTGCCGAACATGGTTTTATATTTTCAATGGAAAATCCACTAGTTGGAAAATCTATGGGGAATATTTGATGATATTTTCTATTTGCGGGCGTTCCTTAAATCCAAGTGTGACGACTTTCCTATGAAGATTCCAGGAAGCGTTCGAGGGAATTGTTTCCTGAATTTGGCAGACTATTATTATTTTATTTTTTTTCAGGGGGGTGGGGCGGGCCTTTGGCAGACTATTCTTTTTTTTTTAATTAAATTAGTCTACGGAATCTCTTCCTGGCACTAAATTGGTCTACGGGAAGCCTTGCCACTAAATTAGTCTACGGAGACTTTTCCTGCCACCTAATTCGTCTATGGTGAGAGCCTTTTTCCTATTAGATAAGTCTACGGAGACTTTTCCTGCCACTAAATTACTCTACGGGAAGCTTTTTTCCCACTAAATTAGTTTACGGAGACATTTCCTGCCACTAAATTAGTCTACGGGCGCCTTTTTCCCATTAAATTAGTCTATGGAGACTGTTCCTGCCAGTCTTTTGCTTTCCCTGCCACTACATTAGCTTTCCCTGCCACTAAAGTAGTCTACGGGAGTCTCCGGACGCCTGTCGCCCCGGGGGGGGTTGGACCGACTATTATTGTTTTCGAAATAATAGTAATTCTCCGCCCCCCCTCCCCCGAAAAAAAAAAATAATAGTCCATTCCACCCCCCCCCGCCTCTGCCTGCTTTCCTTCGTTAGTCCCATTAAATTAGTCTACGGAGACTTTTCCTGCCACTAAATTCGTCTACGGGAGCTTTTTTCCCATTAAATTATCTACGGAGACTTTTTCTGCCACTAAATCCTGCCACTAAATTAGTCTATGGGAGCTTTTTTCCCACTAAATTAGTCTACGGAGACTTTTCTTGCCACGAAATTAGTCTACGGGAGCTTTTTTCCCACTAAATTAGTCTACGGAGACTTTTCTTGCCACTAAATTAGTCTTTCCTACTAAATTAGTCTACGGGAGCTTTTTTCCCACTAAATTAGTCTACGGACACTTTTCCTGCCACTAAATTAGTCTACGGGAGCCTTTTTCCTACTAAATTAGTCTACGGAGACTTTTCCTGCCACTAAATTAGTCTACGGGAGCCTTTTTCCTACTAAATTAGTCTACGGAGACTTTTCCTGCCACTAAAATCGTCTACGATCTACGGGACGCCTTTTTCCCATTAAATTAGTCTACAGAGACTGTTCCTGCCAGTAAATTCCTGTCCGGGGCCCTTTTGTCCCACTCAATTCGTCTACGGCAGCTGTTCCTGCCACTAAACCACTAAGTAAGTCCACTTCGACATAATAGTAGTTCTCGGCCCCCTCCCTGGCGAAAAAAAAAGGCGTA